ATCAAGTCCATTTATGAAGTGAAAAAGCATGAGAAGAAGCCTCCTAAGCAAAAGAGGCTCTTAGCAAGTTCAAGTTTCTCATTGCCTCTTAGTGCAGACCTGCAGAGATTTCAGAAGAAAGAATACAGGGGCCCTGGTGCACCTGGCTTCAGAGTAAAGCCTCTCACTGGTAGCCTGTTCCCAAGAGGAGGAAAGCTGTGGCATGGCTGTGCCAGGTGTCCAGGGCCCATCTGGGGATTTTCTGGGAGATCTATTAAACCACTCAGGCAGCCTGGCTATCCATTATGCCTGGCTGTGGCGTTCAAAGTCTTTCCCTATCAGACAGGAGCCAAACACCATATGGGTAGTTTGGGGTCCCAGCTGGTGCCTGCTTGCAGTGGACAGGCGCCCTGACACAGAACAGGAAGTTTCTGTAACCACCACCCTCCCTCCCCTAGGCCATTGTATTTGGAAGGAAGAATGGCGACCAGGAGCTCCATGACTTCAGTTTGAGAGCAAAAAGGAACACTCCGCATCCAGGGTTCACCTGTAGCCATGTGCGGGTAAATGCCCCGTGCAGGGGATTTCTCCCGGGTCAGGTGTCCCTGTGATTTTTAGGCTGGTGCCTCAGCCTCACCTATTGATTCCTTTTCCTGACCTGACCTGCCTCTGCTCAGAGAATGGGGGAGGCCACCAAGTAGTTTCCAGAGAAAGGAGAACATGGAGAGGAGGCAGTTCTCTAGGATTGCCTGGGCCCAGAGTTCTCAGGAGGGCGAAGGGTCACTTAGGCTGAGACAGCAAGTGCTCTAGTCCAGGTCCTCTGAGATACAGACGCTGAGCCAGGATTAGATGTGGGTGAGATGTGTATTGGGGAAAATACCTGTGAGGGGAAATGAGCAGGAAGCCAGAGGAGGCAGAGAGCCCACAGATTGGGATGCAGCTGTGAGCCCTGTGATGGAGGGAGAGAGGGAGGGGTGAGAGGAAAGGGAGGGAGAAGGAAAGGATGGAAGGGGAAGGAAGGATGGGAGGGAGAGGAGGACGAAAGGGAAGAGAGGGAAGAAAGGAGGGAGGGAGGGAGAGGGAAAGAAGTGGAGGGGGAAGAAGTGGGGTAGGAAAGAAGGATGGATGGGGGAAGGAAGGGAGGGAGAAGAAAAAGAAAGGGAAGAGAGGGAAGGGAGGCAAGACTCTGGTGCTGCACAGATGTAAGTCTCAGCAGGGAGAGCAGGAAGACCTGGAGCCCAGATTGTCCTCCGGAGAAGCTCCATCTTGTGGGCTCAGGCAGCCTCTACATCCCTGCCTCATCCAGACACTGGGAGCACCCTGCAGGAAGCGTGGCCTCCACGCTCATGCGGGGAAGGATTTCCGAGTCCGACAGCTGGGGACGTTGGTCATTTTTGCTCCTTGCCATTGGGGACCCAAGAGGTGCATGTCCATGGCAACTACCGCCAGAATGAGGCAGATGAAGAACTGACCTCAGATGAAGTCCGGGGGCTGGACTGTGGCCGTGTGGGAGGGCAGAGGTGCATCAGGAAGTGGACCAAGCCCATCAGTGGGAACCCAGTGGGGAAAAAATAGATCCCCAGGGCTCCCGTCCAATCTGCTGACTCAGAATCTCTGGGATGGGGCTAAGAATGTTTTTAATGAGCCCCTGGGTAATGCTGACACACAGCCAAATCCATATGCCACGGGAGGAAAATAGTATTCCCAGCCTCCCTCCCTTCCTTCCAATCCATATAGCATGGGAGGAAAGTCCATCCCCAGCCTCCCTCCCTCCCTCCCTCCCTCCCTTCTACCAGGTGACCATGAATGCCTGTTATATGCCAGGCAGCATGTGGCTGGTCCACAGTGTATGTTCCAGGGGTACATCAGGTACAAATCAAATGATTATTACCCAAAGCACTGAATTGCACTCTGTTAAGGGCCATACAGGGAACATTTAGGGGAAAAAAGAGAATCCCATCTCCCACTCCTCCCATCTCCAAAGAGGGGGGCTTCCATTCTTTGTGGGGAAGCTTAGGGGACTCCCCTGGCTCCTCTCCTCCTCTCTCTCTCTCTGGGGAAGAGGAGAAATACCTGATTGGTCAGTCTGGGAAGAATGACTCCCTTTGGATTGAATGTCTGCCTTTGGATTGATTCATCCTCCCTATAAATCATGCTTTACCCTCTAAACCGCCACATCTCCCCCATTTCCTGTCTCTCTATGAGGAAGGGTGTGGAAGCACCTGGACCTCACTGGTTTGCTGGGTCATCACTCTCCTGCCATTCCCCATGCTATGCACATTACATTGGAATCCCTTTTTTTCTTTTCTATTGGTCTGCCTTTTGTCAGTTCTTTCTCAGGGAGCCTTCTAGGGTGGAGGAGAAGCTTGCCCGCTGTGCCCCACAGCTGATTCCCTGTAAAGCTGATGGAGCTCACACTTCTGACACCTGTGCACAGACCCCACCAGGGCCCAGGAGTGGGCTTAGCCATGGTCCACGGAAGCATTCCTTACAGCTTATATCAGTCAGATCTTTCAGCTGCAATCTGTAAGACCACTGTTCCCTTTCCCACTGATGCCACTGCATATTGGGTGACACTAGGGAGGCCTGGGACATTTCTGGGTTTATGTAGGTCACGTAGTTCTGAACTTGGGCGAGAAATAGAGGAAGGTTATCTGCCCCCACCCCAGTCCCAGCAGCACAGAACACAGGACCTAGAGTCTAAGGGGGACCCTGATCTTGTTTAGGGTTGGGGTCAGAGGGGGATCTCTGGATATGTGAGTCCTGAGTCCATATGAGGAGTGGCTAGGAGCCCCTGGACAGAAGGCTGGGGAGGGGACAGGGGTCTTCCAGACAGAATGCACATCATACTCAAAGGCCCAGTGGGGGCAGGGGCATGGCCCATGTGAGGCCATGACAGGAGACAGGGGCCAGGTGCAGACTGAAGGGGAAGGGCGTCTGCTGGGCCTCAGGGGCAGGCTCAGCGCAGACCTCACTGGGCCTAATGGTCCATGGCAAAGATCTGGCTTTTCCTCCCAAGAGCCAGGGAACGCCACCCCCAGGCAGATTTGTGTTGGAGAACATGTGATGAGCAGATGGCAGGGGCAGTGAGGGAATGTGTTATTTTCCTGGGTCCACAAGGGCGTGTAAAGGGCAAGAACTTCCCAGCGCCATGCTCCCGCACCTCCATCTGGGGTCTTAAGGGTCTTTGTTTACATTTTCACTGGCATGGGAAAACAATCAAAGTCAATCACTCCAGCGGAAGCTTAAAGAAACTCCTTTCATAGGTCAAACGGCTTGGAGGAGGGAATTCCTCCCAGGTCAAAAGTCCCCTTCATCCACACCCCTTCGGATTCCATACTTGGGTCCCCTTCCACAATCTTTGTGGAATCTCTCTCTCCTCTTTTTCTCTCTCCTTTTTCTCTTTCTCTGCCTAAATAAATCAGTTTCTGCAAAAACTCTTTGGGGTCCGATTTTTACTTGCTAGCGCACCACGCCTGGCGTGGTCCCCTCTCCCATTCTTGGGTGAGTGAGGGACCAAGAACAGCCCCCTGGGGAGCAAGCTGAGCACTCCCCTGCACCCAGAAACCTGGCAACAGCAGGAGAGGCTTCTGTGGCAACAGCAAGATCAGCACCGTCCTGGCCACGGCTTCAGAAGGAATGCTCTGCAGAACGTGCCCCTCTGGCTGGTGGGGAGGATCCTGGCAGAGTGCACTGACCCTGAGAGAGTACTAGAAACCATGCTGGCTTCATCCTGGGGTCTCAAATACAGGTCAGAGGATCCTATTTTCACCCAAGAATTAATTCACAAATACATCATAATACACCATCTCTCATGGTCCCCTTCCAAATCCACGTCCGTCCATCACCATAGCAGCCCACAGCCCATAATAAGATCTGACGATGATAACTAATGTGGAGGCAGGGCAGCCAAGAGGCATCCTGGGGACACATTGCTGATCATCTTCTCTCTCCCCTGGCCCTGAGTGTCGCCTTCATGTGGCTCAGCCCTTCCGTCCTTCAAGCCCTCATCAGCTCCAGGGTGGCCCCCAGCTTGTGCCCAGGGACGGTGGCTAGTATGCAATGTCTTCCAGATAGCCATATCTCATTTTAATCAGGGAGCAATTCCAGTGTGGAAGTCCCCATCATGCTCCCGCCAGCAGGTACAAGTGCTGGTTTGTGACAGATGAAAGCACCCACAGCCTACGCATCTTCATCATGGAGGCCTGTGCCCAGCACAACAGTTGGACGGCAGGGGTAGGGGCAGGGTCGAACAGCAAATTATACATTCCCTTGGGCTAAGGAAGCCACCCAGAAGCAAAATGCTCCATGCAACAGCCAGGGAGTCAGGCTGCAAGCTTGGCAGCAGGGAGGCAGCTGCGAGCCTTCTTAGAGGAGAGGGGTCCCTTGATCATTCCACGGATGCTTGCCGAGCTCTGGGCTCAGGATAACTGACCAATGATAGTGCTGCCAGAGGGCCTTATTTACCATACACACGTCACAAAATCAGACTTCCCCAGCAGGGAGCCACTGGGCACAATGCCATGAAACAATGTAAAAGTGATTTCTGGTGGGGCGCAGTGGCTCACGCCTGTAATCTCAGCACTTTGGGAGACCGAGGCGGGCAGATCATGAGGTCAGGAGTTCCAGAGAAGCCTGGCCAATACGGTGAAACTCCGTCTCTGCTAACACACACACACACTAGCCGGGCATGATGGCACATTCCTGTTGTCCCAGCTACTTGGGAAGCTGAGGCATGAGAACTGCTTGAACCTGGGAGGCAAAGGTTTCAGTTAGCTGAGATCACACCACTGCACTCGAGCCTGGGCGACAGAGCAAGACTCTATCTAAAAAAAAAAAAAAGTGATTTCTATGCAAAGTAAGTTTTGAGAACATGGTACCAAGGAAGCCACAGCTTTGCACAACTCCATGGAATAATGAAATATTTTGGTGACCCACAAGAGGGAGCTGTGGGTTAACTTTGGAGATCTCACCGGCTGAGAAGTTTTGGCCACTTCTGGAAAGGAGTCACTGGTACCTAAGAGAGTCTATTTCAGGTTTTAATGAAAAGTCACAAATGGCCCAGAAAATCCCTGAGATAGGGGCTCCCAGAGCCAAAGGGCTCACTAGGTTCTGGGGATTTGTGGACACACCCATGGCTATGTCCTGGATTTGCCCAGGGCAGGCGCTCTTTGACTCAGCACAGGGGGTGATACCCTGGGGACACAGGACCGTGTCTGGAGACATTCTTGGTTGCCATGACTGGTGAAGGTGCAGCCATCTGATGGGCAGAGGACAGGGACACTGGAACATCCTGTGGTGCACTGGACAACTCCTTCCTCTAAAGAATGACCTTGCCCAAAACGTTCACAGTCCTGAACCTCAATGAAAGGATCAATTTTCCCTCTAGACGGAAAAGGCCTCTCCTGGCTGTGGTGTGAATGGCTGGTCTGGAAGCTTCTCTAGGCGGGAAAGGCTTCTCCTGGCTGTGGTGAGAGGGGCTGGTCTGGAAGCTTCTCTAGGCGGGAAAGGCTTCTCCTGGCTGTGGTGAGAGGGGCTGGTCTGGAAGCTTCTCTAGGCGGGAAAGGCTTCTCCTGGCTGTGGTGAGAGGGGCTGGTCTGGAAGCTTCTCTAGGCGGGAAAGGCTTCCCCTGGCTGTGGTGAGAGGGGCTGGTCTGGAAGCTTCTCTCCAGGCAGGAAAGGCTTCCCCTGGCTGTGGTGAGAGGGGCTGGTCTGGAAGCTTCTCTAGGCGGGAAAGGCTTCTCCTGGCTGTGGTGAGAGGGGCTGGTCTGGAAGCTTCTCTAGGCGGGAAAGGCTTCCCCTGGCTGTGGTGAGAGGGGCTGGTCTGGAAGCTTCTCTAGGCGGGAAAGGCTTCTCCTGGCTGTGATGAGAGGGGCTGGTCTGGAAGCTTCTCTCCAGGCAGGAAAGGCCTCTCCTGGATGTGGTGGACAAGGGGCTGGTCTGGAAGCTTCTGGATGCTCTCACTATCCATCCGGAGAGCAGGTGCCCCCATGACTTCTCTCTGCAGGGGCAGGGGGTCTGCTGTCTGGAAGAAGCCCTCCCCAGGTGAAGCAAAGGCTGGGGCCATGCCCTCTTCCTCATATTCTAAGTGTCCTCAGAAAATACATTTCTGCAGGTGCCATTACGTATCTGTGCATCCTCAGCCCCAGGTGGGCCAGGACAGGCCTTTGGGCTGGGGATTCCAGGGTCTGCCTCATGGGTTCTTGGCCTGAAGCTTGGACGCCTCATGAAGTCCCCCCTGGGAAAGAAAGATCCACGAGACGTCAAGCCAGGGCTCCAAGCCAAATGAAACATAAACCCACAGAGACATGTTTCCAACATGGGAATGCCCAGTTTTCTCAGGTGATAGCGCCCATTTATGCTTTTTAGGGCACATTTCTATTCTTTCTCCATCCATCTCAGAAGAGCCTTTGAAGCAGAGACAGTGCTGTCCTCCCCTTCCTTACTGCCTCTCAGTGCTGTGGGAAGGAAGGCAGAGTTCACACCCAGACCCAGGGTTCCAGGTCCCGTCCCTCTGACTGCTCTTAAGTTATAAGTTGCCTCTTCTCTTGAGCATCTTCTTTGAGTTCTCACTATCCCCAGCTTCGCTTTCTTGCAGACTCAGCCTTTTGCTGCTTGAAACAGGGAAGAAAAGCAGCCATTTAGTAAGCTGACTCCACGCCCATCCTGATGCCATAATTTACCCAGTTGGATTAAATGAAAATGCAGCTAAAGGTGATGAAAACAATTTTCATTTTGACATGGGCTGCTAAGAAGCAAAGAAAATCCCCGTTTCCCTCTCTTGGGTAGGAGGTCATGCAAGTGCCATGACCACAGCCAGCCCTGGTCAAAGAGGGGACTGCCCAACACTTCAGGCTGAATGTCGATGGGGTGTGGAGGTAGGCCAAGGCTCACCTGGCCAAATGAGACACAAACAGGAAGGGTGACAGCCATGCGGCACCCCTGTTATTATCATGGCTTACTGCCCACAAATTGCATTCATATCTATCATTTCTGGAACCTTCACATTTAATGCCTCTGAGGGGATGGATTCTCCTGCCCAGACTTTTGGCATCCAGCAGCTGAGTGCACTTACCAAACCCAGCCACAGGCAATAGGTCTGGGGCCCAGTCATACCTAAGTGAGCCTGAGGTGTGGTCCCCAGAGGCAAGGTCCTCGTCATTGGGCACCCCCAGGTCCTCTTTTTCCCGGGGTGGGGGTTTCTTCCTTTTAGTCTTTAGGGGCTTCTCTGTAGAGGACAGATGAATCCACGCATGGCTCTGTGACTTCAGACAAGTGACAACTTCTTGCAGCCTCACGCCCACCCAGCCTGACATTTTTGAGCGTGCTGTGTGGGCCAAGTGTGTGCTTGGTACCTTATGCTATTACAGCTGCTCAGCTGATGAGGAAACTGAAGCCCGGAAGGTGATGTGCTCTCCCAAGCCTGCACTGCCTATCAGTGGCAGAGCTGGGACTTGAGCTCCGGTCTGCTAGGCTCCCACTGGATTTCCATTCTACCCTGCCGACTGGACTTAATGAAGCTACAAGCAACTGAAAACCCAGCACCAGTATGATCGCTTTTGCCTTAACAGATCTCTGTGTTTTCACACCACCTTCTGACTCCCTCTCCGAATACCAGGTTAAAACATCCTGTGATGTCACTGAAGCTGCTGCTGGCGGGGTTGGGAGGAGGGCTTACTATCCCCACTGTACAGATGGAAAAATGGAGTCAGTGAGGAGACACAGCCAGTGCATAGCAGACCCAGGAACTGGAATTATTAAATGCCGGCGAGTAAGCGGGCCTGCGGGGTGGCCTAGCCAAGCCTGCTCATTTATAGACAAGGTCACAAAAGCCCAGAGAGGCTGGGCACAATGCCTAAGGCCACACAGCTAGTTGGTGGCCAGTGTGGAACTAGAACCCGTACCTCAGCCCAGAGTGCTTCCTACTGCAGCACAAGTGTCTGTGACTCACCCAGCAGCCCGCGCTTAGAGGGGGACAGTTTGCTTTCAGCGAGGGGCACTCGGGCCAAGGCTGCCAGCTCAGTGATGAAGCTCTGTTCCGCTTCCTGAAATGCAAGCAGAGAGGAGGATTCAGCTGGGCCTCCCTCCGCTTTCCTGACTTCTCTATATCTCTCTCCACCTGAGTGGAGTCTGCCACTCGAGGCTGGCCACCGGGGACCATGTCCCTGGCCTGGTGTGGAGGAGAATTTTCTAAGACGCATCCCAGGGAGGAGAGGAGTAGGAGGAGGCACCCGAGAGGGAAGGAGCTGACATCTACCAGCTCCTGCACGTAACTGTGTGTCCTCACTCACAGCAGCCATGGGTCTCCAGTTGGCAGAGTGCACTGAGGTCAGAGGGGCTCCGTGACCTGCCTGGAGCAGGTGCAGCAGAATAGGACGGGACCCGCTTCTGCCTGACTCCGCAGACTGGCTCTTAACTGCCAACACCGTGGCATAACCAGACACACCAGAATTCCCTGATGCATGAACTGTGTGACCCTGGATAGCAACTTAACCTGTGCATGCCTTGATGTGTCCACCTGCCGTGGGGACGGCAGCAGTAACCTCCTTTGTTGGAAAGTGCGTGCAAAGCTCTCAGCTCATGACTGTCCATCGCAGAGCCTCAGTAAGTGCCTACCAGCCAGCACTGCTGTATCTCATCATTGTCACCCTGTGATTGCCATCATCAGTGGAGGACACTGAAGGAGCCAGCGCTCTGCTGAACGCTTCCATTCTGGAAGATTTGATTTTTTAAAGGCAGCCGCTTTGCTTAACCATGGTTGTAGTCTCACCTTATGTCCACTGTATAATCTCCCACAAAAAGGGCTGTGTGTGATGAAATACGCACTTTGTATCATGAGAGCTTAGCTTCCTGTTTGCTGTAAATGAAGGGTAAACTTTACCTCCCACCAACACTGCCTGAGTGACTACAGAAGTCACCTTTATACTACCAGCCTCCTGGTGGCCATGCACCCGCAGGAGGGTGCTCAGTTCTCTGTCAGGTCCATAGATGAGGGCTGACCAGCTGCTCAGGGCCTGGCCCTGCTTGGGGTGCTACAGCCACTGGAGGGATCCACACAGGCCACCTGCCCTCCAGGGGCTCAGGGTCCAAAGGTGAGGCCGACACACCCTCAGCAGGTGGGACTTGGCGGGTCAACGATGCCACAGGCGGGGAGGCGCAGGGACCAGGGCGTCCCCTCACAACAGTCCCATGGCTGACCCACGGTCACAGGCTGGCTTTTGCTATTTCTGCTCCTCTTTAAACCGCTGCCTTTTGAAGGCCCAGTTCTGTAACTCATACCTGCAGCTGGGTCTCCAGCTGGGCTTCCAGAAGGTCCATGACTCCTGCCTGCTGCTGCCGGGCGTGCAGACGCATCTGCTGGTGCACCGGGAACTGAGCCAGGAACCTCTTCTGCTGGGACAGCATCCTGGGGGGAGAAAGGCAGGCAGGGAGGGAGGGAGGAAGGGAGGCAGGCAAGGAGGGAGGGAGGGAGGGAGGGAGGAAGGCAGGTGTGAGGGAGGAAGGGAGGAAGGAGAGAAAGAAGACAGAAAAGCAGGTGTGAGGGAGGAAGGGAGGGAGGGAAGAAGGAAGGAAGGAAGGAAGGAAGGAAGGAAGGAAGGAAGGAAGGAAGGAAGGAAGGAAGCAAGGAAGGAAGGAAGGAGGGAAGGAGGGAAGGAGGGAAGGAGGGAAGGAGGGAAGGAGGGAAGGAGGGAAGGAGGGAAGGAGGGAAGGAGGGAGGGAGGGAGGGAGGGAGGGAGGGAGGGAAGGAAGGAAGGAAGGAAGGGAGGGAGGGAGGGAGGGAGGGAGGGAGGGAAAGAGGGAGGGAGGGAGGAAGTCAGTGCCACTGGGGCTGCAGGCTGACTAGGGTCCCAGCGCAAACCTTTCTGAGGGGCTGCTGCATGGAGGCATGTAGTGGCCGCTAGACATCATTGATCCCTGGGAACCCTAAGAGGGGCCTGGCCATTGGGGGTGCCATTCACAGCAGCCCCAGCTCCAGACCCCACAGGCAGGCTGCCTCTCCATCGAAGTGGACACCCTTTACAACACAGGAGTTTACAGAGTCCTGCCCACACACTTTCCATGTGATCTTCGGAGGAGCTTCAAGACACCAGCAGAACAGCATAGAAAAGCCAGGGGAAAGAAGCCTAGGGAGGTGGGGCCTCCCTGAGTACAAACATCTGTGACATGGCTGAGCAGAAGGTGGCATCTTCTTGTGAGAAAAACAATCTTACTCCCACCGAGGAGAATTCTCCTGAAAGGACAGGAGATCTACGGGCTTCCCATCCCTGATTTTAAATCTCAGAACTGCCCCGGCCCCTCCCTTGTAAAATGAGAACCTTCCTGGGATGCAGCCTCTGGGAAATACTGAATATGGCAGGCAGCCCTGTTACTCTCAGAGAGGGGGACAGAGCCGCAGGGCCCACCCCTCTCCAGGTGCCCTCAGCTCCTCAGCAAACAGCAACATCCAGATCCAGCCACCCTGTTGCCATCATTGCCCCCTGCCCACCTCCTCCCCATCTTTTAGGGCAGATTTTCCAGACGAGGTCAAATTTCTAGACCTGAAGACAGAGCCACCTTCAGCATGGTTAGCAGCTGTGCATGCGGTGTGCCCTGAGGCGGGGAAATGCCAGCCTGCTTCTACTTCACGCTCTTCTGTCTGCCAGTAACACCTTTCTTCTCTCTTTTTGTCTTTGTCCGGAAAACGCTATGCATCCTACATGACCCCATCATCCATCCCTCCAGCCCTCACTTCCCCCCCGCATCCACTCATTCATCCATTAAAGTTATCTCTGGCCTCTTCAAAAAAATGAAATCATGTCTTTTGCAGCAACGTGGATGGAACTGGAGGCCATTCTCTTAAAGGAAACAACTCAGAAACAGAAAGACCTCATGTTCTCACTTACAAACTGTGCACATGGACACAGCAAGTGGAATGACAGGCTGGGGTGCAGTGGCTCATGCCTGTAATCCCAGCATTTTGGGAGGCTGAGGCGTGTAGATCACGACCACCTGAGGTCAGGAGTTTGAGACCAGCCTGGCCAACATGGAGAAACTCTACCTCTATAAAAATACAAAAAAATTAGCCAGGCATGGTGGTGCATGCCTGTAATCCCACTGCTCAGGAGACTGAGGCAGGAGAATCACTTAAGCCTGGGAGGCAGAGGTTGCAGTGAGCTGGGATCATGCCACTGCACTCCAGCCTGGGCAACAGAGTAAGACTCCATCTCAGAAAAAAAATTAACAAAAAAAAAAAAAAAAAGAGAGAGAGTGGAAGGATGGACAACAGAGATGGAGAATGGGCAGTGGGATGATGGGAGAGAAGTGGACGATGAGAATTACTTAATGGGTAAAACATACTATTTGGGTGATGGTCACACTAAGAGCTCAGTTCTCACCATTATGCAGTATAGCTATGTAATAAAATTATACTTGCGCTCTTTCAAAAAGAAAGAAACTGCCTCTATGAATTCAAGAAGGTGGGGGAGGGAGGGAAGGGTGTCAACAGCCACAGATAAGATGGGGTCATGCACCCTGTCCACCACTTGGCTTCCTTTTCCTCCTTCATAAAGCACGTTGGCCAGGCAGCTGCTGGGGCTCCTTCTCTTGGATCGCCTGGGTCAGAGTGAAGCCCTTGGACCCACATCTATCAGAACCCTTGGTGGGGAAGGATGTGGCTAAAATTCAGATTCTTGGGATCCTCACACTTTCTGAGCCCAAGTCCCCGGCTGTGCTCTCAGAACCTGCAAGTTTAGCAGGAAGGCCAAGGGATGTTTCTGCGCCCCACGTCTGAGGACTGCGGGACCGTGCTTTACTGGAAGCCTGGAAAGTCAGGGCTGCGCCCCACATCTGAGGACTGCGGGGACCGTGCTTTACTGGAAGCCTGGAAAGTCAGGGCTGCGCCCCACATCTGAGGACTGCGGGACCGTGCTTTACTGGAAGCCTGGAAATTCAGGGCTGCGCCCCACGTCTGAGGACTGCGCCCCACGTCTGAGGACTGCGGGACCGTGCTTTACTGGAAGCCTGGAAAGTCAGGGCTGCGCCCCACGTCTGAGGACTGCGGGACCGTGCTTTACTGGAAGCCTGGAAAGTCAGGGCTGCGCCCCACATCTGAGGACTGCGGGACCGTGCTTTACTGGAAGCCTGGAAAGTCAGGGCTGCGCCCCACATCTGAGGACTGCGGGACCGTGCTTTACTGGAAGCCTGGAAAGTCAGGGCTGCGCCCCACATCTGAGGACTGCGGGACCGTGCTTTACTGGAAGCCTGGAAAGTCAAGGCAAGTTCAGTCTGTGAAACCCTGTAGCAGGGCGTTTCCTGACAGCTGTTAGCAAGCAGCGTCCTAAGAACAGCCCAGTCGGGTGGCCCCTTCACTCAGGCCTTGTGAGGCCCACAGAATCCAGGAGAGTCAAGCCCACTTACCGACCTCAAGCACTTTGGGATAGGACGTCTGCATGGCCTGAGCTGCTACATGTGTGCTTTATTGTGATGGTCACAGTCCCAGGAAGCAGCCACCTCTTCCTCACCTCCTTGCCCTCTCACTGTGCTCCTGTGGGTCACTTCCCATGTACACAACCTACCCCCAAATCCTCGTCAAGGTCTGCTTCTGAGAATGCCCAAAGAACGAGAGGGGAGGCGCATGTCTGGGCTGTGAATGCCACTTAAACCTGGGAACAAAGCCACCACCACACCTTGACCTGCTCACTCATCTGTGCCATGTACCATTCCAGGCGCTGCATGGAGGGCAGAGACCAGGACAGAGGCACCGGGTGAGAGGCTGATGGTGCCCAAGTCCATGGGCAACGCATGCGATGGCACCTGCTGACGGCGCCACAGAGAGACACGCCACGTGAACGGGTAGAGAGGAAATAGCGCCCCTATGTGGGACCTCAGTTGGGGCCTCACCTCTGGTGGACCGCCTGGGAGGCCTCATGAGCGCCACCTGCTGTCTTGCAGCTGGATGAAGGGTCGCTGAGTTCCTGCTTTTTCCGCAGCTTGTAATTTTCCATCCTCTCACCTAGACCATTGGAACACAGGACAATCAAGGGGTCTGTCTGGAGGATCGACTGTGCCAGGTCTGGGGCAGGTTCTGGAGTGCAAGGTGCAAGGTGAACAGGACACACCAGCTCTCAAAGAATATGCCATTCCACCAGCACAGGGACAGGGCGCTGCGTGTGTGAATGACACGGCTTCCACCGTGGGCCGGGCGCTGCAGACGGAAGCTGTCTGTGGTGCACCCCTCCACCTGTTCCACCTCCAGCTTTCTCATATCAGGAGAAAAGGGAGGTCGAATAAGAAAAAGTCACCCCTGAGCGGGCACCACAAAGAGCTCAAAAAGCCACACTGGACGGGAGAAGTGACTGGCCAGGCAGAGTCAGGGCAGTGCCGAAGTGAGTGCTCTCCAAGGAGCCAGGACCGTTTCTTGGAAACTCCTGCTTGTCTGCAGGTTCAGCTGCTCAGGAAACTCTTGACTTTTAAAAGCTTTAAAAGTAAAGTGAGGCTGGGCGAGATAGGTCACATGTGTCATCCCAGCAGTTTGCGAGGCTGAGATGGCTGAATCACCTGAGGTCAGGAGTTTGAAACCAGCCTGGCCAACATGGTGAAACCCTGTCTCTACTAAAAATACAAAAATCAGGCAGGCCTGGTGATGCGCATCTGTAATCCCAGCTACTTGGGAGGCTGAAGCTCTGGATTCAGGGGAGGGTGTTATAAGAAGAGCATTTAAGAAACTGGCTTCCAACCATCATTATCTGTATGTTACCAGAACTGGGGATACTGTCCTTTCCATCACCCCAGGGTGGTCTTTTACAAGAGCCCATGGGAGAAAATTCTTGAGGTCTCAAACACGCCCTGGGCCACTGGGCTCATGATCACTGTGGTGTCTTTAAATAAGTAGGTCTCCATCTCTTTGACCACCAGGAAGCTCGCAGACAAAAATCACATTTCACATCTAGGCAGGGTTTGTGGGCAGACGTCCTAGATCAGGGGTCCCCAACCCCTGGACCACAGACTGGTACTGGTCCCTGGCTGGTAGGAACCCAGCCACACAGTAAGACGTGAGCGGCAGGTGAGTGAGTGGAGCTTCATCTCCATTTACAGCTGCTCCCCACCGCGCACATCACCACCTGAGCTCTGCCTCCTGTCACATCAGCCGCGGCATTAGACTCTCGTAGGAGTGCGAACCCTGCAGCAAACTGCTCATGCAGAGGATCCAGGGTGCATGCCCCTTACGAGAATCTACTGCCTGATGATCTGTCGCTGTCTCCCATCACCCCCAGATGGGACCGCCTAGTTGCAGGAAAACAAGCTCAGGGTTCCCACTGATTCTACTTAATGGTGAGTTGCATAATTATTTTATTGTATATTACAATGGAATAATAATAGAAATAAAGTGCACAGTAAATGTAATGGACTCTGCTGTCCCAGATAAGCCTCTCCCTGACTCCATCTCAGGGCCCTCTCCCCGTCCCGGGTGATCGACTTAAAACACTTGCACTGCACTGCATGTGTCCTTATGCTTATGTTTCTTTAAGGGCCTTTTGAAAAAGGCTTTTGAGACAAAGCAGGGATAAATAAATACATTAAAACACTGAAAGAATTAAATACCCCAAAATAAAAATCTCAATGTCTGACATCCCATTCTGCCCCAAACTAAAAGCACAGGTTGGCAGCCCCTTCTGTGACTTCCCCGAGGGGTCCCGTACCCTGCAGGGTCTTCAGGTGCTGCAGTCTGCTCTCCTCGTGGTCCTCCATGATTCTCCCGATTTGCTGGTAATACGCCTGCACCAGGCGGCTGACACCAGCGCTGGTCACGTAGACGCTCTCCACTGCTGCCTCCATCAGCGTCCTCTGAGGGGAGAAAGGAAGGACGGAGACAGCAGAGAAGTCACACGTGGGAGCCACCCACGGCCCACCTAGTTCCTGCCTCCCCATGCCCTGGTTCTAATCTTCCCTACTCACCAACCTGGATTGGTCAGGAAGCAGCCAGTGAGTGCATGGCTGGTTTAAACTAGTCATGGTAATCCTATCTTCCTAGGCCAGGGATGTCTAGGCCTGGCTGTTTCATCCAGTTCTGGCCAAGGAAATGCCACGTTAGGGAAAGTCCGCTGCTAAGGGAGTCTCACTCTGTTACGCAGGCTGGAGGGCAGTGGTAAAATCTCAGCTCACTGCAACCTCTGCCTCCCAGGTTCAAGTGATTCTCCTGCCTCAGCCTCCCGAGTAGCTGGGACTACAGGCACACACCACCAGGCCTGGCTGATTCTTTGTATTTTTTGTAGAGATGGGGGTTTCGCCATGCTGGCCAGGCAGGTCTCAAACTCCTGACCTCAGGTGATCTGCCCACCTCGGCCTCCCAAAGTGCTGGGATTACAGGCGTGAGCCACTGTGCATGGCTGAGGCCTTCCCTTTCTAAACATTAAAGTGGAAGCTGAGCAGCTGAAAGACTGCTGCTCCCTCTTCCTGCCTGAAATGCAGGCCTGATGTCTTGGAGTGGCAGTGGCCATTTTAAGACTATAAAGCAATAAATTAACAGTAAGAATGCAGGGTCAGAAAGAAAGAGCCTTGTCCTTGGTCACATCACAAAGCCACTGTGGCAGCCCGGGGTCACACACCTCCACATTGCCTGGGGTAGGGGGTGAGTAACTGCAGTTTCTTTTGAGTAATGCTACTTGCAGCTGCATTTCTGCAGGATGCATCTGAGACCAAAGCAGAAAAGACAGGAGATGCTGAGACATCCCACCACTGGGGATGTGTTGGCTGTGCACTGAGAAAGTTATCATCCTTTTCTTCATAAGAGCATGGGCAGATGCTGGCGTGGTGGCTCAAGACTGTAATCCCGGCACTTTGGGAGACCACGGTGGGAGGATCATGAGGTCAGGAGTTTGAGACCAGCCTGACCAACATGGTGAAACCCTGTCTCTACTAAAAATAAAAAGTTGGCTGAGTACGGTGATGCGTGCCTGTAATCCCAGCTACTCAGGAGGCTGAGGCAGGAGAACTGCTTCAACCCGTGAGGCAGAGGTTGCAGTGAGCTGAGATCGAGCCACTGCACTCTAGCCTTGGCGACAGAGCAAGACTCTGTCTCAAAAAAGAAAAGAGGATGGGCAAAAGCCAGAAAAGTTCATCCCCATTGTAACAAATATGTATTGGATGGTCCTATGCTTTAGGTAAGAAAAAACACACACTGCCTCCCACTGCAGCCTCTGAGAAAGTTCCTGAGCATAGGGGTGGAGTGGAGGCCACAGAGGTGAGGAGACTGCACAGCCCAGGGGGCAGTGCAGGTCTGAGCTGCTCTTCTAACTCCTATGCCCCTGCTCATCCCTTACTGCCAGTGCTTCTTTCCTTCTCCTCTGCCCCATCTGCAAAGGGGCTCCCACTTCATCCCTCCAAAGACGTGGGCTTCAGCCTTGCGCTTCTTATCAGGAGCTCCCATCCTCTTTCCATGAAGGTCAGCAAAGCCACCCACATCTTCACACCCTGTGTGCACCTGCCTTCCTGCCACAGTAGAGCAGCGAGCACCCCACTCTGCCCCCACCCCTCTTCCCTTCCCCAGGCCCTCCATCCCTGACCACCCCTTCTCTCCTCCTCCTCAGTTATTTTCTGGCCAGTCTCCCGTACCCATCAGCACACACATTTGTGCTAGTGTTCCAGGAAGCCCCTGAATAGAGGCTGAATTAATGACCATCCTTCTAGAAACTAAGCTCAGTGTTCTTTTTTGTAAGTGTGAAGTGGAGGTACTCATTTTCAATCTCGACTCAAAAATCCTTCTGGAAAGCTAAGGACAAAATACAACACTCATATCTTACTCCATTTCCAGGCAGTGAGCACCATTAGGTAACACGTGGACAATTTTAGGGATGGGGTGACGTTCCCAATATCACCAGCCAGGCACAGCCCTAATGTTGGATAATCTGAGGCAGATGTGAGATATTTAGAAGACAGGGTGTTGCAGAAATGTGGGTCCAACCTCTTTGCTGCACAGACACACGAAGTGACTTGTTTTACCGAGATGAAAGGAGACCCTTGGAAGGCGCCTGGAAGTGCCCCTGCACTTCCTGATACCAGGGCTGCCTGCTGGACACAGGGCTCTTACCTGCTGGTGTCTGCCAGCCACAGACACCCATTCTGTAGTGGCCTGCAGTGAGTGAGGCACTGTAAGGGGTGCCCCAGGCAGACGCAGTCTGTGTGCTGGTCAGGCTCCTGCAGCCCCGAGGCGGCCCCTCACTAGGCTGGAGGCTGAAAATGTATTCTTTGCTCCATCATAGCCCTCTTTTGTCCCCAACGGGAAGAAAAGTGATCCTGACCGTGCAGGGGTTGTGGGGAGAATCCAACAAGACAAGGTAGGAAAAAGCACTTAGATTTACGTGCCGTGCTAATGTGACTTCTTACAGTTACCATTTTTATTACTATTGTTTTTGATTCTTGTCAATGTAAGGAGTTAAACCAGTCTACTTAAGCCAAATTGATTTTTAGTGGCATCGTTCAACCATCAAGATGAACTCCAGAAAGCTCCAGTGTCTCAGCAGAGACAGCCAGGGGCAGGGAAAGCACACGTCTCTCCCTTTCTGGGAGAGGGACGACTTTGGTTCAGATCCTGGTTCTGCCACTGACTGACTGTGTGGTGCCACCACATCCCACTCAGGGCTGCTGTAAGGACACAGCCAGTTCTCAGGATGATGCAGCACAGGGCCTACAGCAGGAGGAGAACCTGTGATCTGTTGCAGCTGATCCTCCCCATTCTGTGAGGGAGAAGACCCATCTCACAGGTGAGAAAAACAAGACTCAGAGAAGTCAGATAAAGTCAACAATGCCACAAGCTCCATGAAGGGTGTGGCAAGGAGCAGACCCAGGCATGGACCCTACCTGGATCCTTCTCCATGAAGGGTGTGGCAAGGAGCAGACCCAGGCATGTACCCTACCCTGATCCTTCTCCATGAAGGGTGTGGCAAGGAGCAGACCCAGGCATGGACCCTACCCTGATCCTTCTCCATCAAGGGTGTGGCAAGGAGCAGACCCAGGCATGGACTCTACCCTGATCCTTCTCCATGAAGGGTGTGGCAAGGAGCAGACCCAGGCATGGACCCTACCCTGATCCTTCTCCATGAAGGGTGTGGCAATGAACAGACCCAGGCATGGACCCTACCCTGATCCTTCTCCATCAAGGGTGTGGCAAGGAGCAGACCCAGGCATGAACCCTACCCTGATCCTTCTCCATGAAGGGTGTGGCAAGGAGCAGACCCAGGCATGGACCCTACCCTGATCCTTCTCCATGAAGGGTGTGGCAAGGAGCAGACCCAGGCATGGACCCTACCCTGATCCTTCTCCATCAAGGGTGTGGCAAGGAGCAGACCCAGGCATGGACTCTACCCTGATCCTTCTTCATGAAGGGTGTGGCAAGGAGCAGACCCAGGCATGGACCCTACCCTGATCCTTCTCCATGAAGGGTGTGGCAAGGAACAGACCCAGGCATGGACCCTACCCTGATCCTTCTCCATCAAGGGTGTGGCAAGGAGCAGACCCAGGCATGAACCCTACCCTGATCCTTCTCCATGAAGGGTGTGGCAAGGAGCAGACCCAGGCATGGACCCTACCCTGATCCTTCTCCATGAAGGGTGTGGCAAGGAGCAGACCCAGGCATGAACCCTACCCTGATTCTTCTCCATGAAGGGTGTGACAAGGGGCAGACCCAGGCATGGGCCCTACCCTGATCCTTCTCCATGAAGGGTGTGGCAAGGAGCAGACCCAGGCATGGACCCTACCCTGATCCTTCTTGCCCTCAGTGTTCCCAGGGACAGGTGTCAGTACATACCTTGAAGTCATCCCTGTCCTTGGCCCGGCTCTTGCTGGCCGCATTCCGTGCATGCACCAGCAGTGCCTGCCCGATAGCGCACTCCATGTGCTGCTGCAGAAGCTGCCCCATCTCCTGGGCCTCAGCCAGGAGCCGCTGCTGGAGCTGCAGCCGTGTCTGCTGAGCCTCCTCCTCCAGCCGGCTGGCCTCCTCCAGCACACGTGCCTCCTGGGAGGGAAAGGGCTGGGAGTGAGGGCCAAGTACTCCCTTCACAGAGAAGCTCTGGCCAGGACTGGGATATGGGGTTGGTCCTATCCACAGCCCAGAGGTTGGAAAAGAGATGGAGAAAGGGCAGAAAGAGGTGGCCTCTCTAGGATTGCCAAAATCAATGGATGAGGTTAGGTGTCTGTTGGAGATTTCATTCCTCAGAAAAAGGGCATTTATTGAGCACCAACTATGTGCCCAGTACCATCTATGGCCCCTCACAAGATGGCCTTGCTCACCCTTCTAGAACATCATGAGACCTGAACACTAGCACTGAGGAAGACACAAGGGCTTGGAGAACTTAAGTAACTTTCTAAAGTCACACAGCAGAGCCAGGTTTTGAAGCCAGATCTGAGTCTCTGAGGACATCACAGACGCTGACGCAGGGCACACAGGGCCCCGGGGGCTGCCGTAATTTGTAGAAACGAGAGAAAGAAGTGAGTGGGGCTGGAGCGAGGTCAGTGAGTCCTGCCTGCCCCTCAGAGCTCTCCTGGATAGAGGTAAAGAGACTGTGGACTTGTGCCTCATCTGTAGGTCAAACAGCAGCAGCTGCTCCCAGAGCTTGGTGGCTTCATGCAGGAGGCCTGCAGTCAGCCTACCTGGGTGTGAATCCCGGCTCTGAAACTGACTAATTCTTTCTTTCATCTGCTATCACACTTCAAAGAGATCACAGAGGCCTTCTCTCCCTTACCCCCAAAGACAACTGCACCTGTCTCCCTCTGATTCCATATATGTTTTTTCCAGTATAATTCTCATTATATCAGTGACACTTGAACGTTTTGGCACATGGTTGGCCCCTGTGGGGCCTCCTTTGTCTCCACTTGTTATGGGCTAAATTGTGTCCCTTCAAAATTGGTGTGTTGAAGCCCTGAGTCCAGGTACCTCAGCATGGGAGGTCAGTGAGTGGATAGTGCCTTTGAGGGGGTGATTAAGGTAAAGAGGTCATTAGCATGGGCCCAGATTCAGTATACCTGGTGTCCTTACAAGAAGAGATTGGACACCCACAGAGGAAGGACCTGGAGGACACAGGTTGAAGACGGCCATCTACAAGCCAAGGAGAGCGGTCTCAGAATCAGCAGCCCACACCCGGATCTCAGAACTCGCCTCCAGGATGGTGAGCAGGGAATGTGTGCTGTGTAAGCCGCACATTCTGTGGAACCTTGCTACAGCAGCCTCAGCAAATGAATATCCTACCCTGCAGTACTGGGGGTGGTAAAATTTGGGTTCTGGCAAACCTGCTAGAAGCTGGGGGCTGCTGCAGGGGCACCACCTGTCTGAAATAGGTGGTCTTACCAGGGCCCTGAGTAGCTGCCACTGATGCTCATCCAGGCACTGGGAGGACCCCTGCTCCAGCGCATGCTGCTCCCGTAGCTCCTGCAGGAGGCGCTTCTTCCCCGAGAGCCGCATCTGCGTCAGCGTGGCCAGGGCGCTGCAGCGGAGTGCCAGCCTCCGGAGGGCTGAGCGCAGAAGCAGGTCATGCCCCTGCAGGACACACCGCGTGGACCTGAGAAAAGCAGGTGGCGGTGAGGTCGATGCTCTTGGCTTCACGGAGCCAGTGAGAAGCTCCCCTGCAAACAGCTACAGCCCACAGGGAGCCCCTCCAAAAGGAAGCAGATTGGAATCACCACCGTCCGCTGCCGTCCACTTAGGCCCGGGTGCCTCCTGGGCACCCCGCTGCCATCTGCTTGTCTATTAATCTTTTCAACCTCATCATCTCCTGCCCAGCTGTCCAATCCATGTGTATGGCAGCCTAGGGTATACAGCCACTCAAATTAATGATGTAACTCAAAATCAGCACATCCAAAGCAGAAATCTTAAGCTATATTTGAGTTCCTACTTCAGTGATGCATGTAAAACTTCAGTCTTCCAGAGAGGCTCATTTGGTTGTATAACTTGAGGCGTCTGCTGAGAGGCTGAGAGGTGAACAGAGGTCTGACAGTCAGCCTGCAAGGAGAGGCTGGCAAACACTCCAGGCTTTTTGGTGGGTGCCTTCATGCTAGAAAAAAAAAGTCACTTCCCACAAAGATCTAATTCAGAATCAACTAAATTCCAGTATGGCTGGAGTGAATCTACCCCTATCCGCAATTCCCGCTAGAAGTAACATAAATCCTCTGAAAGAAGATCGTATCATTTGAAGTCTTGAATTAGCTCTACAGTTTTTCACGCTTAGCGGTCATCATCCAATAAAAACAACCAGACATGCAAATAGAAGAGAATTAACTGAAAATAAAGAGAAAAACCGACAACAGAAACATGCCCACAGATATCAGAAAACAGAATAGTCAGACACGACCTTTACACTAATTATGATCAATACGTTTCAGAAACTAAATAAGATGAAGAATTTCAGCAGATAACCAGAAAACTACACAAGGAATCAAAGGGACATCCTAGAACTGAAAACACAATAACTGACATGAACGACTCAAGAGAGGAGTTCGGTACCTGATAAAATATGGCTGAAGAGAGAGTGGCTGGAAGGTATCTCAAAGGAAAATATCCATGCTGAACCACAGAGAAGAAAAGAATAAAAAATACAGAGTAGCATGTAAAAGACATATGGGATAAGGTGGAAAACCATCATAACTTCTGTCACTGGAGTCCCAGAAAGAGAGGAGGGAGAGAATGGGCAGGGGAAGATCTTAAGAGAAAACAGCTGAGAATTTCCATAAACTGATACAAAAACCCAAATATATATCAGCATGAAGATTTACATTAAACATAAATGGACTAAACATTAATACAATTAAAAGACACAGGTTTTCAGGCTAGACAAATCTCCCAATCACTCTCTGTTGTCTTCAGTATGGCTCACCAGGTCTCCCTGGTCCAAGACTACTTATGCTTCCATTATCTTCTATTTTTTTTGAGATGGAGTCTCACTCTGTAGCCCGTGCTTGAGTGCAATGGCGCGATCTCAGTTCACTGCAACCTCTGCCACTGGGGCTCAAGCGATTCTCAAGCCTCAGCCTCCCAAGTAGCTGGGACTACAGATGCCCACTGCCACACCAGGCTAATTTTTTGTATTTTAGTAGAGATGGGGTTTCACCATGTTGCCCAGGATGGTCTCGAACTCCTGAGCTCAAGCAATCTGCCCACCTCAGCCTCTCAAAGTGCTGGGATTACAGGTGTGAGCCACCACACCCGGCCACCATGCTCTTCTGATGTTTCTCCTGTATTATCCAATTTCACAGCTAGACACTTACTTCTTGATGGTATACACAATTTGGTTTCTGGAAAGGGCTGGACAACTAAAAAAACAGTTGTCTCAATACTCAGAGGAAAAGAAATTGAAAATAAATTCGACCAATAAGACACATGCACTTATATGTTCACTGCAGCATTATTTACGAAAGCAAAGACAGGAAATCCATCTAGGTGCTCATCAATGGTGGAGTGGATAAAGAAAATGTGGTACATGTACACCATGGAATACTATGCAGTCATAAATCATAAAAAGAATGAAATCATGTTATGTGCAGTAACATGGATGCAGCCAGAGGCCATTATCCTAAGGAAACTAATGCAGACACAAAAAAACAAATACTGCATGTTCTCACAGGTGGGAGCTAAACATGAGGCACATACAGATATAAGGATGGGAATAACAGACACTGGGGACTACAAGAAGGGGGCAAGGGTTAAGAAATGACCTATGGGTGCTGTGCCCACTGCCTGGGTGATGGGAGCTGCACCCTAATCTTCAGCATCATGCAATACACCTTTGTAACAAGGCTGCACATATGCCCTCTGAATCTAAAATAAAAATTGAAAAATAAAACTAAAAAATAGCTATATCCAAATATTTTTTTCTCAGCTGGGCATGGTGGCTCACACCTGTAATCCCACCTACTTGAGAGGCTGAAGCAGGAGAATTGCTTGAACCCTGGAAGCAGAGGGAGGTTGCAGTGAGCCAAGATTGTGCCACGGCCCTCCTGTCCAGGTGACAGAGCGAGACTCTATCTCAAAAAAAAATACATATATGTGTGTGTGTGTGTGTGTGTGTGTGTTTATACGAAAGAAGGAAAAATCACTTTCTAGCAAATTGAAAAGACCATATTGCACTAATAGTTATAGCAAAAATGTGAAAAATGAATATAAAAATTGATAATAAATTGGAGAGTGGCTGCAACTGGACACAAGAGAACGTTTTACAATTGTGATCAATAGCAATTTGGGGGGTAACAGAAATGTTCTAAATTTGGATTGTGGTAATAGGGGTAGAACTCAGTAAATTTACTAAAAATCATTGAATTATACTCAAAAATAAGTGTATGTATACTATACCTGCAAAAGGCTGTTTAAAAAAGTTCCTATGAAGACGAGTCTATGAAGTAGGTCTCATTAGCCCATTTTATAGATGAGGAAATTGAGGCTAAGAAACATTAAGTCATTTATATCCAAAGGAAGGTGAGGGGCAGTCAGTGTGCTCACTGTGCAGATGAGGACGCTGAGGGTGGACAGAGCATCATGCAGGACACAAGCCCCAGGCCTTCAGAGAGCTGTACTCACTCTTCAGTGAGGCCACCCAGTCGGCCCAAGACGCCACGGATGGTGCCCTCGTGGTCCTCCCGCAGGTGCGTCTGCAGCACGCTGGACAGCGCACACTCCTCCATCCACGCCTGAACCGGGGCAGAGGGACAGAGCGGGTAGGTGGTTACTTGTTTTTTGTTTTGTTTTTATCCCTTTCTGCCTCAATTTCATTAATATTTTCTACCTTATTTTCTTCTAAAAGCATAAAATCTCTCCTATTTGCATTTAGGAAAAACGCAAATAGGAACATTTTTAATCAAAGTATCTAAAATTTGTTTTCTGTGTAGTGAGGAAGGGGTCTAATTTTCTCTGGATCAATGGATAATTATTTGTCCCAACCCTGGTTATTACATAATTCATTTTTTCTGGCTTTCCTCCAGCGCCACCTTGTCTTGTTTAATTAACATATACACACATATCTTGTCCCAGGTTCTCTATTTTGTTCTATTGGTCTGTCTATTTCTGCACCAACATCACACTTGCTAATGTTGTAGCAGTCAAATGCCAGTGCAGCAAGAGCCAATCCTCCCTCACCCTCTTGTTCAAAGCTGCCTTAGCTGTTCTTGGTTGCTTTTCCTTTCATATGACTTTTAGGATCAGCTGGTCAAGTTTAGGGGAAAAAAAAGACTAGAATTTTCTCATAATTGGGTTGATTTTACAGATCAATTTGGAGAGAATCGCCATCTTTGCAAAATTGGGCTTTCCACCCCAAAACATGCCATTGCTCCCATTTTTCTTTACACTTTCAATAACTTTTTATAAGTGTCTCCCTTAAGCTCTTCTACACATCGGTGAACCTATTTTTAGGCATCTGGTGGCTTTTATTCTGAAGATGATCTTTCTTTATCGCTGGGTGTTGCTGGTATGAAGGAAATCTCCTGGTTTGGGACTGATTTTGTATGTGGTGACATTTCAGAGCAATCTTCATAGTTGTGACCGTTTGTCTGTAGGTTCTTCGGGTTTTCAATAGGGACATTCGAATTATCCACAAATACGGTGCACAAAATTCGATGGAGGAGCGTCCGCTTACCCTTGCTGATTGTGCTGTTCAGGACAGATCTTTCATGGCCGTCTGGCCAGTCTGCTACCTTCTGTGAGACGGGGTATTAAAATCTTCCATCATGGTATCCATTGTTCATCTTTTCTTTCAAGTCTGTCAAATTTTGCTTTATGTATTTTGTGGCTAAATTGTTGTATGTTCCTCTTACACAATGTAATGATTCTCTTTATCCCCCCAAAACGTTTTCTACCTAATGTATAGTTTGTTAGATCTTAGTATCATGCAGTTTCTTTTGCTTGATATTTGCCTGAGATATTGTTTGCCTTTTGACTTTCTAATTTTTGGTTATCTAGCTGTGTCTCCTGTAATGCCACATGGCTAGATTAGAAAATGTGTTTTTTAGCAATTTAAATGGATCTGCTGGTTTTCACTGTGACTAATGGTATGCTTGGACCTATTCCCACCATCTAATCTTGTGTTTTGTAGATATTATGAAACGTTCTCAACTTGTTTTTATCTTTTATTGGTGTGGGAAGTAGAAAAGTTCCTTTTTAAGGTTTCTTTTCTTGTTAAAGAATAACTGTGCTAATAACTTTGTGAAGCCCTATCCTAGGTAGCTGTTAGACACGCCGTGCTTACAGGCACGTAGTACATTCTATGCCCTTGTACTTTAACCAAGATATCTGTGCTGGACGTGCTCACAGGCATGTCCCAGCTCTTCATTGCTTTTACCTGTTTAGAAAAGTTTTAAGTTGTTGGTCAATTGGGCTTTAGTTTAGATTGTGAGGTCTGGCTCCAGTCAACGGAGATCACACACAGCAGTAAGGACAACCCCACATGAGTAAGGGATAAATTTGTATGTTTTCTTTTGTTCCTTGTACTCTCATGGCACAATGGCTAGCAAGGGTACCCTTCCTGCAGTCCAGGAAGTAAAAATTGCATTGCTAAAAGATCCCTTGTCTCAGTGCTAATTTTTCTTTGCCGCACAGAGCGAGCATCTATTTCCAACAATTGGATTCATCATTCTTTAGATCTCTAATCTGTATTCTGGGTCATTTTTTTCTCTACTTTGGAAGTCATATATTCTGTTTTGTTATTTTACTCAGTGAATGCACTGCAAAGACCGTCAGAGCTCCCCTGTGGCTGAACAGATTGATTTATCACCTGGTGCGGCAAGGGAGAATGTGCAGAGGGGCGCGAAAGGCCCAGGTGTGGGCTGTGGGAGGTGATTTGGGGAAGGCTTAGTGAAGCCAGGCTTGGCTCAGCCAGGACACGGTGTCTGGGCATTTCAGGGGCGGGGAGTTGGACAATGTTCGGTTGGTCTGCGTTCAGATGTGGTTGCAGGGTGGTGTCATTTTTGGCTCTGTCCTTCATGTAACAGAGGGGCCTCATCCAGGGTTGATGCTCGGTGGTTGGTTGTTCAGTCGGCAAACACCCAGGTCCAGCTGCGAGTAACAGGCTAGTTTCTGGGTGGGAGGGGCTGCTCCTTTCTCTCCCACGTGGTTACTCTTCAGTTTTTAAGTTGCATATTTAACTTGTAAACATAAAGTTAATACTTCTGCCCTCCTCCAGACTAGGAGAAACATGATTCCAGGGTTCTCTCTGCCTTCCCGGATACTGATCTCCATGATTTTGGTTCTGTGCTGTTTTCTAAACTCTTCATTGTTTGAATTATCACTGTTCCTTTGCCCAGTATTCTTTCTTGTTTCCATCACTCCCTCTGTTCTCCTTTACTGTTTTACAATTGCCTGTTTCTACAGAATAAGATATGTTCTACTCCTATAGGATTTTGTCATCCTGTTCTCCATGTCTCTTCTTTCACATTTTCCGTCTCTTTACATGTCTGAGCTGTGTTTTCTGGAACCACCTTCTCACATTTACCTTCTAGTTCACGCACTGTTTCTTTAGCCTCAATTTAATCTGCTATTCTATTAATCCAATTAGATTTCTGTTTTCATTATTATAATTTTCTTATCTTTTTTTTTTTTTTGAGATGGAGTCTCGCTCTGTCACCCAGGCTGAGTGATCTCCTGTAAGATTTCGGCTCACTGTAACCTCTGCCTCCCAGGTTCAAGTGATTCTCCTGCTTCAGCCTCTCAAGTAGCTGGGATTACAGGCACCTGCCACCATGCCCAGCTAATTTTTTGTATTTTTAGTAGAGACAGAGTTTCACCATGTTGGACAGGCTGGTCTTGAACTCCTGACCACAGGTGATCCACCCACCTCGGCCTCCCAAAGTGCTGAGATTACACATTAGAATGTGCTCATAACATGTGTTTTTTTGAAAACAGAGGGGATTAACAGCCCTTAAAACAAGACACTATGAAACAGGACAAGACACTGAGAAACTATACTTTATGAATGAAAATTATAGTAATGAGGCCAGGCATGGTGGCTCACACCTGTAATCTCAGCACTTTGAGAGGCCGAGGCAGGTGTCACACAGCTAATAAACAGTGGGGCAGGAACTGATATTTACATCTTTATGTCTCCAAGGCTCACATATTTTCTTTTTTTTTTTTTAAAGACGGAGTTTCGCTCTTATTACCCAGGCTGGAGTGCAATGGCGCGATCTCGGCTCACTGCAACCTCTGCCTCCTGGGTTCAGGCAATTCTCCTGCCTCAGCCTCCTGAGTATCTGGGATTACAGGCATGCGCCACCATGCCCAGCTAATTTTTTGTATTTTTAGTACAGACGGGGTTTCACCTTGTTGACCAGGATGGTCTCAATCTCTTGAGCTCGTGATCCACCCGCCTCGGCCTCCCAAAGGCTCACATATTTTCTAAATCCACCATGCTCCTCCCTGACGATCTCACATCACCAGGTGATGCACCTAACTCAGCAAGACGATGATAAAACCAAGGACTCCATCCTTAAGGTGAGAGAGGCTTCTTCCCTTTTCTATGGCTTTTTAAAAGGCTGTACCTCTGGCAGCCTGGAGATGGTGCATGCTGCATTTGGAATGCAGATAAAACACAGGCCTGGATGGAAGTACCTGCAGCCTAGACTTCAGTACTGGTGGATGCTGTGATTCCTAACACTTGCACTTAACTCTCACAAAACTGCACTGTGCTACTGGAACAGTTCATTAAATCCCATCTCTGACCCCTCTTGTGAGGAGTATACAATAATCTGTTAGAGTGCTAGGGAAACCAGAACATTCTAGAAAATTCTGCAGTCTTTTTTTTTTTTTTTTGAGATTGGAGTCTCACTCTGTTGTTGCCCAGGCTTGAGTGAGGTGGTGGAATCTCAGCTCACTGCAACCTCCGCCTTCCAGGTTCAAGCAATTCTCCTGCCTCAGCTTTCCAAGTAGCTGGGATTACAGGCACATGCCACCACGCCTGGCTAATTTTTGTATTTTTACAAAAAATGACGAAATGATGGAAACCGCCTGGAGTGGGGTTTCACCATGTTGGCCAGGCTGGTCTCAAACTCTCAACCTCAGGTGATCTACCCTCCTCAGCCACCAAAAGTACTGGGATTACAGGAGTGAGCCACCGTGCCTGGCCAGTCTTCATTCTTTGACGGGTGAGTTTGCATTGTCACTAAAGTATATAGGGGTCTTTGCTGGGTGTTTTGAGAATGCAGCTCAAACTAGCAACAGGATTCAACGATGATTGATAAGGCCAAGACCTGGACCAGACGCTGCCTGCAGGTGTCACACAAACCTCTTCAGCATTATCACATGCAGGCTGGTAAATGCTCACATTCAGAAGAGCTGTTCCTCGGGCTAGAGTGCTGGTCGTCGCTACCATGTCATTCAGTGGCCTCCGGTAAGTTTTACTCTTTGTCTCAAACTTTTGTGTATTATGGGGAGAAAGGGAAGAGCTACTAATGGATGCCTAGTATGTGCTGAAAGTTTGGTAGTGTCCTCCTGGAAACAGGGAGGGTTATTAGGTGGGGCGAGCTCTAAAATTAACTCCTGAGGCAAACACCGGAGTGTTGGGGGCAAGTGGGGATGGCAGTTTTAAACAGCATGATCAGAGTAGGCCTCGCTGTGAAAGCGACAAGGGAGCCAAGGCCCAGAGCAGGACAGAGTGAGGCCGGAGCACGCCCAGAAAGCCAGAGGGGTTCAAGGAACCATTGGG